TTTATATTATTTTCTACATTGGTTTGTATTTGTCAAGGAAGAAGTTGTTTTCAAAATATGATGTGTTTTGAATTTAAGTGTTTAATCTGTTTCTTTTTTGAATGGTTTCATTAGTGCATGATAGTTATTCATAATTGTGGGGTTCAGTTTGACATATTCATGCACGCATGTAATGTAATTTGCTCCATTTCAGTCTCCACCACTTCCACTTTTCATCCCTTACTCTCTTTCTCTCCTCTACTTGTTTTCCTTCTATTTAATTACTGTGTTTTTTTTTTTTTGACGGGTCTTCTATTTACATACATAAAGTAGAATTTTCTCTTGGTATTTTAATTCATGTGCATAGCATATTTTGATCAACTTCATTCCCCAGTCCTTCCCCTTTTCCACTCCTCCTCCATCTTCCTCCATACCCTTCCTCTACTCCACTGATCTTCTTTTCTATTTCCATAGGATGCCCCCCCCCTCATTTGATAAAATTCCTTATTTCTCTCTCACTTTCACATGTGAGATAAAACATTCAACCTTTGACTTTCTGGATGCAAATGCTTTTCCCATTTGCATCCATTTACCAGAAAATGGCATCAATTTTCTTTATTACAGCTGCACAATATTCCATGGTACATACATTTATGACATTTTCTGTATCTGTTTGACTGTTGATGGGCATCTGGGATGGTTGTATAGCTTGGCAATGGTGAGTTTCACTGCTCTACATATTGATAGGCATGTATCAGTATATATGTTGATGTTAGTTCTTCTGGATAAATACCAAGGAGTGGGATAGCAGGAATAGGGGCTAGAGTGTGAAGAACTGTATTAAACAGGAGTGGTGAGAGTGGATATCCTTGCCTTATTCCCGAATTTAGAGGAAATGCTTTCAGGCTGTTCTCCATTCTTTATGATGTTAGAATTGGTTTAATCTATATAATCTGTGCGATAACAAAGAAAGTTTCTTCTATCGTTAGTTTCTTCAGCATTTTTAATATGTGTGTGGGTGCTGGATATATCAAAGGATTTTTCTGCATCTATTGAGATGATTATGTCATTTTGTCCTTAATTCTATTTATGTGATGTATTACATTTATCAGTTTATGTATGTTGAACCAAACTTGCAACCCTGAGATGAAATCCTGGTGATAATGATGAGCAATTTTCTTAATGTGTTTTTGAATGCAAATTGTTAATATTTTATTAATAAGTTTTACACCTATGTTTATCTGTGATACTGGACTATAGTTTTCTTGATTTTTTTTCCCCCTGGTTTGAGTATCAGGGTGATTCTGGCTTCATAGAATGAATTTGGGAATGTTATCTCTCTTTCTATTTCATGGAAAAATTTGAGGAAGTTATTTTTTCTTTGAAGGACTGGTAGAACTCAGTTGAGAATCCATTTGGTACTGGGCTTTTCTTTGTTGGAAGACTTTTAATTGCTGCTTCCATCTCAGTATTCGATGTTGGCCTGTTTGGGTTTTCTGTGTCCTGTTGCTTCAATCTGGGTAGATCATATCTACATAGAAACATGTCAGTAACTTCTAGATTTTCCAGTTTATTGGAGTATAATTTTTCAAAACAGTTCCTAATGATAACCTGGATTTCAGAAATGTCTTTGGTGATATTTCCTTTCTCATTTCTATTTTGTTGATTTGGGTCTTCTCTCTTTTTGGTTAGCTTAATTAATTAAGGGTTTATCAATTTTCTCTACCTTTTCAAGAGACATTTTCTAGTTGCATTGATTTTTATATTGATTATTTTAATTCTCAATTTCATTAATTTCAGTTCTAATCTTAATTATATCCTTTCTTTTACTGGTTTTGGATTAGCATTGTTTTTCTTCTTCTAGGGACTTGAGGTATAGTATTAGGTTTTTTATTTGGGATCTTTCTGTCCCCTCCCCCACCCCGGCTCAATGTAGGCCCTCAATGCTATAAACCTTCCTCTAAGAACTGCCCTAATATTATTCTGATGATTTTCAAATGTGTATCACTGTTCTCATTTGGTTTTAGTCATTGTTTGCTTTCTAACCTGATTTCTTCTATGACCTATTCTTGATTGGAGGTGTATTTTCCAGTCTTCATATGTTAAAATGTTTTCTGTTTTTTTGTCTTGATATTGATTGCTAACTATATTCAGGTACGATCTGATAGGATGGAAGGGATAATCTCTATTTCTTTTATTCACTAAGCCTTACTTCTTGTACTAAAATGTGGTCTATTTTTTGAGTAGGGTTTAATTTATATACATAGGTTCATTGATATTTGGGGAATAAATATTTACACTCATCACATCTTGTTGTTGGAGAGTTCTTTTAACCAATACAAATCACGCTTCTTTGTCTCTTCAGGTTAATTTTGGCTTGAGGTCTACTTTGTCAGATTTGAGAGAGTAGCTACTTCCTCTTCCTTTTGGACTTACATCTTTTTCTATCCTTTCAGCATCAGCTTGTGGATATCTTTAAGGTGAGTCTCTAGTAAACAACATATGGATGGCTTTTCTTTTTTAATCTACTGTGCCAATCTATGTGCTTTTAACGAAGACTTTTTATGTCTATGTCTTTTTAATGAGACCATTCAGTGGTGTTATAGAGAGATGATTTTTATTTCCTGACACGTTGATTTATTACTCATGTTTACTTCAGTCTTGATTCTCCTTTACTGTGTATTATCCTAGTGAGATTCATCCATTTGTTGGCTCTGATATTTCTTTTTCATTGCTTCTATATATAATCTGTCATTATTATGTTCTGTAGTAGTTTAGTGGTTATGGATTCTTTTAGTTTCTGTTTATCATGGAAGAGTTTCTTCTTTTTTTTTTCTATCTTCAATGCTGAATGATAAGGTTTGCTGGATATAACTATCTTGGTTGCCACTCATTATCTTTCAGAACCTGGTAAATATTCCAAGCCCTCTTGGATTTTGCAGTCTGGGCTGCCAAATGAGTGGAAAGTCTAATTGGCTTATCTCAAAATGTGAACTGCAGTTCTGCTGCTCTATCCTTGGTCTGTATATTAGACATTTTAATTATAGTGTGTCTTGGTGAGTATCTTTTTTGTTGTGTTTTTTTTCACTTTCATGTTTTAAATATGAGAGCAGGATGCATCACAATTCATATCATATGTATAGAGCACAATTTTTCATATCTCTGGTTATACACAAAGTAGAGTCACACCATTTGTGTGTTCATACATGTACCCAGGGTAATGATGTCCATCTCATTCCACCATCCTTCTTATCCCCATTCCCTCCTCCCTTCCCCTCCCTCTCCTTTGCCCTATCTAGAGTTCATTTAAACCTCCCATGACTCACACCCCAACTACATTATGAATTAGCCTCGTTAAATCAGAGAAAACATTTGACTTTTGGGGTTTTTTTGGATTGGCTAACTTCACTTAGCATTATATTCTCCAGCTCCATCCATTTACCTGCAAATGCTGAATAATATTCCATTGTGTATATATATCACATTTTTTTAACCATTCATCTACTGAAGGACATCTAGGTTGATTCCATAATTTAGCTGTTGTGAATTATGCTGCTATAAACATTGATGTGGTTGTGTCCTTGTAGTATGCTGTTTTTAAGTCTTTTGGGTATAGATGGAGGAGTGGGATAGCTGGGTCAAATGGTGGTTCCACTCCCTGTATTTCAAGGATTCTCCATAGTGCTTTCCATATTGGCTGTACCAATTTGCAGTCCCACCGACAATGTATGAGTGTGCCTTTTCCCCTACATCCTTGCCAACAATTATTGTTTTTTGTATTAATAGCTGCCATTCTGACTGGAGTGAGATGAAATCTTAGAGTGGTGATTTGCATTTCTCTGATTGCTAGAGATGTTGAACATTTTTTTTTTTGTATATTTGTTGATTGATTGTATATCCTCTTCTGAGAAGTGTCTGCTCAGTTCCTTGGCCCATTTATTCCTTGGCCCAGTGTGAAATTTCCTGAAAAAAATCAGACATAGAAATACCACACAATCCATCAATCCCACCTCTGGGTGGATAGGGGAAAGAATGGCATCATAAACTTGAAGAGATATCAGCACTATCATGTTCAAGACAGCATTAGAAACAACAGCCAGACTGTGGAAGCAAAACAAATATCCATGGATAGAGGAATGGATTTAGAGAATATGGCAGAAACCTGGAATACTATTTAGGTTTAAAAGAGAAGGAAATTCCCCTCTTATGTACTGACATGGATGACCCTTAGCCCTCTTTCCTCTATGAACTAAGCCAAGTACAGAAGGATGAACACTGCAGGATTCCACCTACGTGAGGTATGTAAAAATACATGAACTATGATAAAAGAATAGATTCATGGATTCCAGAGGCTGGGGTGGGTGGAAGTAGGGAATCAATAGATATGCCAATTCAATTATGCAAGATGAGCATCTTCTAGGGATCTATGGTACAAAATGTAAGTCAATGATAGCATATTTTGCATTTAAAATTTCATTAAGCATGTGATTCTCCCAACAGGGATTCTTAGCACAATAAAATAAACACAGAGAATATGAAGTGAATTAAGATTCAGCTTTTATTAAGAATTTATGATGGATGGTTGTACTGAGGGAGGGAAGCAAATTTGATGATGACAGGAAAAAGTAGTGCATAGGAATATGGAGAAAAATGCAAAAGAAATCAAGACTATGAAGATGAAGGGACAGTTGTGTGTAGCTATGAAATTTTTCTGAGTAAGTGTGTTCCTAAGTTCTTTAGATGGATAGGTCAAGAACTTTGTCTCAAAATTTCAGCCAAGAGCACACCTCCCCATAAGGAACTGTGAAACTGATCCAAGGTGCACAAGGTAAGGAAGAAGAGGATGAAAGCAGAGTGGTCTGCACTCCTTCGAGGTGAGTCACAGGTCTTATATGGGGAAGGATGCACAGAATTTCTGGTGACAGTATGCTTGTTTTCAGGCAAGATAGGAAGAGAATTTGTACAGGTAAGGCAAGCAGATTGGAAGGAGTTTGTGTAGGCATTGGATTTGGGGTAGCTGATCATGAGGAGCAGGGCTGGCAGCGGGGAATGATGTAGCAACTGGGGCAGCAGCAAGGCTCACAGCAGTTGGGCTCACAGGTTGATTTGCAGCAGGTGGTCCTGTGGCAGGTGGTTTCACAGCAAGCTGGGGGACAGCAAGGCTGGTAGCAGCAGGGTTGGCAGCAGGGAGTGAGGCAGTAGCTGGGGCAGTAGCAAGGCTCACAGCATCTGGGCTCACAGCAGGGTGTGCTGCAGCAGCTGATATCACAGGCTGGTTTGCAGCAGGTGGTCCTGCAGCAGGTGGTTTCACAGCAAGTTGAGGGACAGCAGGGCTGGCAGCAGCTGGTGACACAGGCTGGTTTCCAGCAGCTGGTCCTGCAGCAGGTGGTTCTGCAACAGGTAGGTTTGCAGCAAGAGGAGCAGCTGGAGTGGGCCATGGTGTGAGCTGTGGAGGGTGGGATCCTGTTCACAGGTGAGTGAGTTTGTACAATATAAGGACTCCTTGTAGTTGGGCTCTTTTATCCCAGGGGCCTCCAAAGTTTGGCCAATCAGCAGCCTTTCACCTTGTTGTTGTTTATGTTATTTTGCATATTCAGTTTATGTTTGTTAAGGAAGTTATACTGTAAATGGGATGAGTGTTGTGAAAGTGTTTCATCTGTTTCTTAAGAGGGCCTAACTCACAGGAACTGTTTCCAGATGAAAGGAAGACAGTCACCTCATTAGCATCCTTGGTGCTCTGAGCATATTTGGATCATGCTCCTCTGGAGATTTTTTCCTTTGCCTGTATTCAGATTAGGAAGTGCCTCTGGGAGGAGCATGATGTTGTGTATTCACCGTGATCAACCAATAACCTGGCACCAGGTCTGTTTCCCCACATACTACTCAAGATTAGTAGAGAAATCTTTCTCCGTATGAACTCTCCCACCTGTGTGTCCCAGGTGTTTCCAAGGTACTTGGGATGAGGATTTTTGGCATCTGGTTTTGCACAGCAGAACAGAACCAGAACCTAAGGGTAGAAGTTGTAACATTACCTAGGGATGAACCAGGTATGGATGGACATCAGTCATGTTTGATCCAGAACTGGAGGCTCATCAGGAAGAACCTGTGGGACTTTCTGACACACAATCCCTGCAGATCCAGGAAAACCAGAATGAGCAGGTGAGTCTGTTTCTCTTCTGAGTACCGGCAGAGCCTGTGATCTTAGGCCAGGGCTCTTCCTCGGTCTTTCCTTCTTTCCTCTTGTCTCTCTGTTTCTTTCTCTCTGCTCCTTTATCTTTCTGTCTGTTGCTTTCTTGCTTTATTTCTATGTCATGAAGGAATTACGATTAGCTGAGATGATCCTTAACTTATCTGTAGGGACTGATGGATTTAAATCTCATTTAATTTATTTTATGTTCCATCTATTAACAGTTTGATACCTCAGTGGAGAGGTTAATTTGCTTTAACAAAATCCTCATTGTTATTTACTGTCTCAGTACAATGTTTTGTCCTTTCCCATTCTCTAAAATATAAGCACAAGACCCACAGATATAAATAATATGATTCAAGTCTAAGTTCAATATGTATTTAGACATTTAAATTACTCAACACAATATGTAGTGAAAATCCAGGTTATTGTAATTTGTTATCTAATGGATGTGAAGAGCTGTGGAAAGATTTTTTCTGGGTCATACAAATAAATAAGCAGAATTTTATCTATTTCTTTTTAAATGTTTAACGAATATGTAACAAAATAAGCTTGTCATTCATTTTTTAAGTAAATTCAATACAAACAGATATATTTAGGATAATGTGGGTGGTGGTTTTAAAAATGTTCACAAAATCTTTGGTACCTTTTTATTCAAGAGGTAGAGCCTAATTTCTCCTGTCCTTGAGTGCAGTTTAAACTTAGTGGCTCACTTCCTACAAATAGTATATGGCAGAAATGACTGTGTACAACTTTTGAGATTAGATCATAAAAGATAACGTGGCTTTATTGTGTCCCCTCCCTCCCTTGCTCCCTCTCTTTCTCTCTCTCACACACTTTGAGAAAATGGCTGCTTTGTCATGTGGCTACTTGAGCATCCTACACAGAGGTCCATGTGGTGAGGAGCACCCAACATCCAGCAAGAAGCTGAGGCCTTGTAGGAAGCAAATCTTCAGATCCCAGGCAAATCTTCAGATAACTAAAATCACTGTTGAAGTTTTCACTATAACTGATGATATCAGGAAAGACTCTGAATCAGAATCTTCTAGTTAAGCCTCTTCTGCATTTCTGATCCAAAGAACCTGTGAGAAAATAAATAACCTGTTGCTTTTCGCTGCTGTGTTTGGGGTAATTTGTTAGGTAGTTTAATAGATAACTCAGAAATGTGAAATCTACTTGGCCATCAACGTATGCACATAAAATTTTTGTGCATACATTGTTGCTCATTCACAGTATGCCATATTCATAACTTATAGTCACATATTTTTAAATCGAAATTGATTTATGTGTGTATCTGTAGGGATAACACAATTTTAATATCTTAAAATATTTTTCTCATGTGAATATCATCCCAAGCACAAGCCACAAAGCTGCTTCTCAGTGTTCTGATGAACAGATTCCTGCTACAGCAGCAGAAGCTTGGAAGTTACTTTAAACCCACCTTAATCTTATTCCTTTTTTTTTTTTCCAGTAGTGATGTTAAATCACATTTAAGTCTACCATTGTTTCCAAAAGAATACAAGTTATTACTTTTCAACTTGGTGAAATATCCAAAAGTGAACATATCCCTGCCACTACTCTCAGGTTGGAACATAGAAAGGAACCCAATTTCTTACAAATCATACCTTGTCATTCACCCCCAAATGGGGTGGATCCCTTTGTTGGCCTGTTAGCCTTCTAGGGTTATTTTGTCTCTGTTTCCCCCTCTTAGGTTACTTAGGATAATAGAATTCCCAGGTTTCCTTATACCATGAGTGTGAGCTTCTTCACTATAGTTAGCTAGAGTGTGTTCACCCTCACTGTAAAACTTCCACTGACACAATTAATCTGTAGATTGTCTTCCAGATGAACATGTGGCTTGTTTGTTGATTGGGACGATTTGCATTCATGCTGCTATAGATGTTTTAGCACAGAGCCTGTGGTCGTGTTTATAAACACTTCTGGTGAATATACAACTGGATATAGGCCTGATTATTGATCTCTCAGGTGGAAAGAGTTGTTCTTTTGTTTGACAGTCTTGTCCATGGTTCTCCAGATTTCTTGTTATGTATTTTATAGTGTACATAGCTATGTGATAATTTAAAAGTTAATTTTTTTTTTTTGCTGGTTCACTGATATAAAAAATGATCCAGTTTTGTATGTTTACCTTGCATCCAAACTCCTTTCTCATATCTGATAGTGCATGGTAGATCTTCTTGGAAGGGAGTGATTTTTCATTCAGTCAGATCATGAACAAAGATACTTCTGTTCATTTCAGCATAGTCTTTTTACCTTGCATTTTTCTTGCCTTGGTCTATTGGTAAGCCCTCTAGTGCATTGTGCATCTGGTGGGTATTTTTGAACAATCTCAGCCTAGAGCCTTAAAGGGAGAGCTTTGACATTTCCTTATTACCGATGATCCTCCTTTTCCTTTCTGTAGATTCTTGTCATGAGGGCATCGACATTTTCTCAAATCTGAATAATCCTTGTAGATTTAACCCGATCCATGTGGTTCTAGTGACCTTCTCCCAATAACATTAAAAAAATCCCCACTAATAGAGGTTACGATGTGAGCAACATATTGTAAGATGCCCGGTAGCTTTGCCATAGATAACACCTCTCAAAGATGGGTCATGATGGAAAAAATTGTGAAAGTGGTTTTCCAGGCACTTGGAGGTGACCTTTTCCTGCTCTATGTGATTGAATGACTCACTGACCCTTCCCTTAAGCCTGGGCAGTGGTCTGTTAGCTGATGCTCATTTATTTTGGAAGTAAAATCTTCTTATCACAGGTGTGAACACTTCACTCTGGAGACAGACTTGACACTCACTGGAAGGTGAATAAAGACTTTTTCTTTTCTTTCTTTCTTTTCTTTTCTTCTTTCTTTCTTTCTTTCTTTTTTTGGACCTTTTCTTTTGACAGCTGGTCTTTTCAGGAATTGTCACCCTGCATGATGGGTGAATGAGGACTGTTTCAGCAGTGGTCTGGAGGCTCTTGTAGTCCTCGTTTCTTAAGGTGATGCAGGTTGAAAATGTGTTGGTGTTTATTCTACCTTTTTTAGTCAACATGATGAAAACTGAAGCATGTTACAATGTTGGAATAACCTTGCATTTCCAAAAATAATACAATGTGCTCATGATCGGATGCATGTGACTCTGGCCTTGACTCACATCTATCCTAAACAGGATCTACTCCGTTTTGTATTCTACAAATTGATTCTCCCATTATCACTGTATTTCCTCCACCTTCTCTCATCAAGTCAGTTCAGAAGAAGCCAAGATTCTTTACCTTCTTTTGACACAAATTGACCTTGCTATAGTTCTACATCCTGGACTTCTGAAGGCACTGTCCTGCACGTAGAATTTATTAGTAGTGGTCAGACAGTGCGGGGGTAAAAGAATGTGTTCTTTTTTTTTTTCCAAGCATAAGAATATATATATTTTATTGTTAGTTGTTCAAAACATTACAAAGCTCTTGACATATCATATTTCATACATTTGATTCAAGTGGGTTATGAACTCCCATTTTTACCCCGTATACAGATTGCAGAATCACATCGGTTACACATCCACATTTTTACATACTGTCATACTAGTGTCTGTTGTATTCTGCTGCCCTTCCTATCCCCCTCCTATCCTCCCTCCCCTTGCCTCCCGTCCCCTCCCCTCTCTCTACCCCATCTATCCTAACTCATTTCTCTCTCTTATTTTTTCCCCTTTCCCGTCCCTTCCTCTTATATGTAATTTTGTATAACAATGAGAATGTGTTCTTTTGTCTTGGTGCAATAGGAAACCCCAAGGCTTCATTTCTGAAACACAAACTGTGGGGAGGAATTCTAAGGAGTCCCTGGTAGACAATTTGCTGAGTTCATTACCATGTTTATTTAAAGTTGATACTGATCATTTCTATACCAAGAGTGTATTCTTCCAGAACACATGAATGAAGCAGTGCTTTTAACCCTCAGCACAGATTATAAGAAGAAGAATTTACTTGCAAAATAAATGAGCATCAGCTCAACCTACTGAGAAGCTGGGGGAAATGTGGAATTGGAAAATTAATCAAGAAGCTGGTTATATCAGGTTGTTACCCCAGCAAATGACACGTTAAAAAGGAGAATGGCTGTGACTTTTGGAACATAGACTGTTTACCAGATTATAGCTCTGTGTTGTGAATTTAGAGGCTCAAAGGTCTTAAAGCAGAAACCCCACTGTGTCAAAAATATAATTGGACTTGTAGGACATGTAATTTCCTAGTGGAACGTAAATGTTATGTCAAGGAGGAGCCAACGTCTCATTTAGGGTATATACTCAGGTCTCACAGGACAGAGACAAGGGAGATGAGATTATTCTTGGATTGTGGACCTTCAAAGTGACATTAGCAGGAGCAGAGTCTATTTATTGCAAAAGTACCTCAAAGACAAAGATTGGCTTCAGAATTACAACCATTTCCTTTAGCATGGTTGAAGATGTTGAGAAAATGTATGTAGGTATAGATATATGGCAGAGCGTCGTCTTCCATGGAAGTTTGGAGGTTTGGGTTGACAGATTGGGTAGTAGATGGGAATGTTGGCACTTACCCAGGTAAACATGGGATAGGGGAGGGGCATTGTTTCTTGATCCTGTAGTTCCTTAGGCAAGACACTCAATGCTTCATCCCCACTGTATGAGGATATTGATAAACAGAGTCATATCATTCTAATATTATAGCTATTGCAGTGGTATAGTATTGTGTCTAGAAACTACCCAATGCAGTAAGTGTACTAAAAAATGTATTTAGAAATTGGAACCTTCATACAGTGGAGGGATGTCTTATGTTTCAGGAACCCCCTGGAAATCAGTATCGAGTTTCCTTGTATAATCAGAAATACCATAGGATCCAGCAACCCCCATCTCTGGGTGTTTAAGTTAAAGAATAGAATCGTAATATTGAATATATCAGCACCTCCATGTTCATGGCAGCACTATGAACAATAGCCAAGGGGTTGAAGAAACCCAAATGTCTTCTGATGGAGGAATGACTCATGAGAATTTGCCAGAAACCTACAATCGAATAGAATTCAGCCTTAAAAGAGAAGGAAATCCCCTCTTTGAAGGGGATGTTGTCACTGAGCCACATCCTCAGTACTTCTTGTTTTCTATTTTTTGACAGTGACTTGCCAAGTTGCCTGAAGTCTGCTAAGCTGCTGAGGCTGGCATATGGGAGTGTACCATAGCACCTGGCTTTCTTTATGCCATGTTAATTGAGCATGATGAATAACGTCTAGGGATTTGATGTACAGTGTGATACAATAACAATGTGATTTTCACTTAAAAATCTACTAAGCAGATGATTCTCATGTCACGGGTTCTTTGCATAGCAAAATAAAGACAGTCAATATGGAATGAATGAAGGTCCAGAATTTATTAAGAATTTACCAATGATGACTGTATCTAGGAAAGGAAGAGAAGGGGACAATGACAGGAGAAAACAGTGCTCAGGAATATGGAGGACAATGCAAAAGAAATCATGACCATAAAGATGAAGGGGAATTTGCATAGAGCTATATGATATTCTTCTGAAGAAGGTAGTTCTAAGTTCTTTAGACGAGAGGTAAATAACTTGGCTGTAGAATTTCATGCAAGATCACACATCCCCACCAAGGATCTATGACCCTGGTACAAGGTACACAGGCCTAAGGAAGAAGACGGTGATGGATAGTGGAGTAGTCTGCGCTCCCTCCAGGTGATTCAGAAGATCTTCCGTTGGGGACACTGAACAGAATTTTTGTGAGCATGATAGCTTTCAGCTGAGGTAAGAAGAGAATTGATTCAGGAAGGGAAAGCAAGCAGGTTTTGCAGAGTTTGTAGACCCTGGTCTTTGGGAGTTGATCAAGGGCAGCAAGGCTGGCAGTAGCTGCACATACAGCAGCAGGGCTGGCAGCAGGGTGTGCTGCAGCAGCGGGTCACATGGGACTTTTTGGAGCAGGTGGTCTTGCAGCAGGTGGTTCTAGAGCAAGTAAGAGGGCAGCAGGGCTGGCAGCAGGGGATGATGCAGCAACTGGGGCAGCAGCAAGGCTCACAGCAGCTGGGCTTACAGGAGGGTGTGCTGCAGCAGTGGGTCACATGGGACTTTTTGGAGCAGGTGGCCTTGCAGCAGGTGGTTCTAGAGCAAGTAAGAGGGCAGCAGGGCTGGCAGCAGGGAATGATGCAGCAACTGGGGCAGCAGCAAGGCTCACAGCAGCTGGGCTTACATGAGGGTGTGCTACAGTAGCTGACCACACAGGTTGGCTTGCAGCAGGTGGTCTTGCAGCAGATGATATCCCAGCAAGCTGGGGGAGAGCAGGGCTGGCAGCATCTGGATCCACTGCTGGTTTTACTACAGCAGCTGGACTCACAGCAGCTGAGTGGACAGCAGGGTGTGCTACAGCTAGTGGTCTTGCAGCAAGAGGAACAGCAGCAGTGAGCCATGGTGTGAGTTGTAGAGGGTGGGATCCTGTTCACAGGTGAGTGAGTCTGTGGGATATGATGACTCCTTGCACCTGGGCTCTTTTATCCATGGGGCCTCCAAAGTTGGGACCAATCAGCAGCCATTTTCCTTGTTGTTGTTTATGTTATTTTCCATATTCAGTTTGTGTTTGTCTAGGGAGAATTTGTTATGCAAATGGGATGAGTATCCTGAAAGTGTTTGATCTGTTTCCTAAGTGGGCATAACTCAAAGAAACTGTTTCCAGAAAAAGGAAGACAGTCATACCTTATGAGTATCCTTGGTCCTCTGAGCATCATTTTGGTCCTGTGGTGGCTCCTGCTGCCCTGGGGAGGGTCAGGGCATTGTTTCTCTAGGGCTTTCTTCCTTTGTGTTCAGATTAGGAAGTGTCTGTGGGAGGAGCATGATTCTGCTGTATTCTCAGTGAGGAACAAGCCATATGTTTACCTAGAAGATCCTGACTCAAGACCAGTAGAGGAGGCTTTCTGTGTTTTCTCTTCCACTTATGTGTCTTGGGTGGCACTTTGAAAGAGAGTGTGGGACACATGGTCCTTCCCAGCAGAGCACAAGCAGAGCCTGAGGGTAGAAGAAGAGGCAGTGTATGGGGACCAGTCAGGTAGGGATGGAAGTGTGGGTGACCATCATCCTGTTTGATCCAGTACTGGGGTCTCACCAGGATGAACCTGTGGGACGTTCTGTCACTTGAGCTCTGCGGACCCAGGCAAAGGGGCATGAGCAGGTGACTCTAGTCCTACCCTGGGTCCCAGGGGAGTCAGTGATCTTTGGTCAGGGATTTTTTTCTGTCTTTCCTTTGTCTGTGTTTCCTTGTCCTCCCTTTTGTTTCTCTCTATTGCTTTTCTTGCCTCAATTCTACTTCATGAGGGAATTAAGATTAGGTGAGATGGCACCTGGTTTACCTGTGAGGACTCACATATTTAAAATGTTTTTAGGTCTATCAATGTGTTCAGAAAGATGATAATTATGAATTTCCAACGTGGTGAAATATCCTAAAGTGAATGCATCCCTGTCAGTATATCAGGTTAGGAAAATAGAAATGAACCCCATTCCATTCAAACCCTACCCTGTCACTGATTTCCAAAGGAAACAGAAGCCTCTGTTGACATGTGGACCTCTAGGACAATTTGAACTTTTTTCACTTTTAGTTTGCTTCAGATAATAGAATTGGTGCATCTCCTGATGTGGTGAGTGTGAGAGCAGCACTCTAGTGTGTTCATGCTCATTACTGTAAAGTATCCACTGAATGAAATGACACAATCTGTTGCAAGTTCCCTAGATGATCATGTAGCTTGTCTGTAGCTTGGGACCATTCAAATTTGTGCTGCTATACATGTTTTTGCAGAGAATCTGTGGTGATATATAAAAGCATTTCTGGTGAATCTACAACCAAGTATAGGATTAGTCATAAAATTCCCAATTGGAAGGATTCATTCTTTCTCTGTGGTGATCTTGTCCATGTTTCATTCTATTTCTTCATAGATATTCCGTTTTGTAAGTGTATAATATAATTTTTTTTATAATGTTATAATTTAAGTCAATTTTTAACTATGTTGGCTATATTAATAATGATCCATTTTCTATATGTCTCTGTATGTAAATTCCCTGATTACATCTAAGAGTGCATGGTAGATCTTTTAGAAAGGGAGTAATTTTTTAATGCAATTACATCACAAATAATGCTCCTCTTTTTGTTCATTTCGGCATAGTCTTTCTATCTTGCATTTTTGCCCTATATTACACCTATGACCCACAGGTCATGATGGGATCAGTTGGTTAGGAGTATCTTTTCTGCTGCACCTTGTTGAAATCACTCTTCTTTCCTTTGCTCCTGTGCCAGGGCCTGTTGGTGGTGTGTCATGTTTGACATCAGAGGTCCAAACACTCCATGTGAAGACAGATTTGAGACTTGCTCGCCCATCCCCCAGCTTGACTGATGAATGATTACTTTCACTTTTGGAAGCTGTTTGTCTCAAAGGTTGGCACCCCTCATGGTGGGTGAATCACGACTCTTCAATCCTCACTCTTAAGATGTTGAATGATTTTTCTTCATGAACTGAAGCAATGTTATGATTATTTTACGTCTTATTTAGTCTATGTGATGAAAACTTTGAATAGTGTTCCAGTGTTGAAACAGCCTTACATTTCTGAAAATAACTAATTGGGGTCATGATCACATGCATGTGACTCAGGTCTTGTCCCACTTCTATTCAAGTAGGATCTATACCATTTGCATTATCCTTTTCTTCTAATTGGATTTCCTCCACCTCCTCTCATTAAATCAATTCTGAAGAAGCCAAGATTCTACACTTTCTTGTGTCCCAATTTGGCCATGTTTTAGTGGCATATCCTAGACTTCTTAAGGGGCTTTCCTCTCTATATGATGAACTGGCAGTTCTCTGACAGAGCCTGAGCAAAGGTATCTACAGTGTTCTTCTCAGATCATGCACTGGGAAACCCCAAGGCTTCCTTTCTGAAGCACACATCATATGGAGGAATTCTAAGGAGTCTTTTGTAGACACATCACGGAGCTTCATGACTGCAAAAACAATGTCTGGACCTGTTTATTAATAATTGATACTGTTCATGTCTACATCCAAATTGTATTATTCTGTAGGGCATGCATGAAGCAGTGCCTTTAGCCTAAACTCAAATGAACAGAGAGGAAATTACTTGGAAATTAAGTGAGTATTAGCTCAACCCATTGAGGAGAAGTTATGGGGAAAGACATACTTGAGAAACAGTTAAGAAGCCAGTGATATCAATTTGTCACCCAACCAAATGCCACATAAAACAGGAGAGCCTCTGTGACTCTTTGAACACTGACCTTTCATTGGGATTATAACTCTATTTTGGGAATTTCGAAACTCATATTTTGGATGAAGAAATATTGATGTGTCCAAAAAATATAACTGGATGTATATGATATGGCATATCCTAAAGGGCTCTAAATGTTGAGTCAGGGAGGGACCAAATGAAAATTTGTACAAAAAGTCAGAGACATCATATTGTGAGCTGGTCACCCAGATGCTATTGGACAAGAGACAGGAGATTGTTCTTTGAATGTGGAACTTGAAGCTGACATTAGGAGGAGCAGAGACCATTTATTGCATAGAACCCCAAAGAGAAAGATTGGCTTCAAGGTCAGCAGTATTTCCTCTAACCTGGTTGAGGATTTTCTGAAAATGAATATTGTTTTGTTTTTTGTTTTTTGTTTTTTTTAAAGGCAATGGTGTGGTGTTCCCTAGAAGTGCAGGTATGTTGGTGGAGAGGAGGGAGAAATGGAAACATTTTCAGGGCCCAGCCGAACATGGCATGGGGGTGGGAGTGTTGTTGTTTCCTCTTGTAGTTCCTTAGGCAAGACCAGGTATATTTTCTTATTGCATGACATTTCAGTAAACAAGGCCATATCATTAGAACATTGCAATCATTGTGGCATTGGAATAGCATGTGTGGCTCTTCCACAAAGTACTGAATGAATAAGGGTTTTGACTAGGATGTGGAGAAACTGGGAAACTGCTACACTGGAAGGAATGTATAATGATGTAGGAATCATGCAAATCAGCATGAAATTTTCTCAATACTCCAGACTTAGACACACCATATGGGCCTGAAAGCCCACTTCTGGATTTGTAGGGGAAAAAGAATGGGATCAGAAACTTGAAAAGATATCAGCACTCTTGTGTTCAGCGAAACATCATGAATAAGAACAAAGCTGTGAGAAACCCAACTATCCATCAACAGACGAATGGATCAAGAGAATAGGATAGAAACCTACTCTGGAATACTATTCAGGCATGAAAGTGGTAAAATCCTTCCCCCTGTGTTAACATGGGTCCCTATCCCCTAAATGAACTAGGCCAAGTACAGGGAAAACACTAGCAGGATTCCACCTATATGAGGTATGAAAAGTCGGTCAACTCACATAGGGACAGAATGGAGTGGTGTATTTCAGAGGCTGGGGTAGGTGGAAGTAGAAAGCTGCCAACCAATGGGTATGCCATTTCAATTTTTCAAGTTAAGCAACTTCTGGAGGTCTGTGCTACAGAGTGGAATACAATGGCAATGTACTTTGCACTTAAAATGGATCAAGAATGTGATTTCCATGACAGGGGGTCTCAGTACAAGAAGGTAAAGAAAGACAATACAGAATAAATAAAGGTTTATAATTTATTAGGAATTTATGAAGAAGGGATGTACCAAGGCAGCCAACTGAAGGTGACTCTGCAGAAGACATGGCAAACAGGAATAAGGAGAACACTGGGAAAGAAACCATGACTATAAAGATGAAGGAGCGCTTGCATATAGCTATGAAATTCTTCTGAAGGAGTGTGTTACTATGTCCTTTAGATGGAAAGATAAAGAATTTGGATCCAGAATTCCAATCAAGAGCACACATCCACATCCAGGACCTGTGAGTTAAAACCAAGGTCCCCAAGACCTAAGGAAGAAGTGGATGGGAGTGGTGAGGTCTGCACTCCCTCAAGGTGATTTATAAGGTCCTACATGGGGGGTGATGGACATAATTTCTTTTGACAGTCTGATATTTATCAGCCAAGGTAGGTAAGACAAGAAGGTTGAGAGGACTCTGTGTAGATGCTGGTGTTTGGAGAATTGATTACCGGCAGCAAGGCTGGCAGCAGGTACACACACAGCAGCAGGGCTGGCAGCAGGGTGTGCTGCAGCAGCGGGTCACATGGGATTTTTTGGAGCAGGTGGTC